TAGCTCGATTATTATGCACCTTTCAAGTAACGCCCATAGCACATGCCGTGTCTTGTCAAACCATTGGTACGCCTCTGTGGAGTTTCTTACCTTTACTGGCGTGCAATGTGTGCGAAATTCACTTGATGGATATGAGATCCTACCAGTTCCTTTCTAATCCGTATGTGTTGTACATTTAGCTGCTTATATTTATGCGTCAAACAGGGTTGGTGTCCACCAATTGGTGTACGCCAAACAGGGTTGGTGTAACCAATTGGTGTACGCCAAACAGGGTTGGTGTCAACCAATTGGTATACGCCAAACAGGGTTGACGTCCACCAATTGGTGGAGGTAGACAAAAAAAGTTGGGGGGGGGGGCTGTGAGAAAAATATTTGAACATAAAAAAAAGGTTTTCTTTAATAGTAAAGCTTGCTAAATTATGGATCTAAAACTGTAGTGAGATCTGAGAGGGGGGGGGGTTTGTGGAGCAGGGATATCTAAAAGGGAAAGGGGATGGAGCAGTGCTATATGGGGAAGGGGGATGGAGCAGTGCTATATGGGGATTGGGAAGGAGCAGTGCTATATGGGGAAGGGGATGGAGCAGTGCTATATGGGGAAGGGGATGGAGCAGTGATATATGGGAAAGGGGATGGAGCAGTGCTATATGGGAAAGGGGATGGAGCAGTGCTATCCTTGGTTGAGGGCCAGTGGGGACCAGTGTTGTTGAGCACCGACACTTGTGATAAGAACCAGTCTCGCCTAACGCAATTATTTTCACCCTAAACCTTATCAAATAATAACATTACCGACGGTGCAGCAAGATTGCTGCGGTCTGTCCATGTAGCACAGAAACTACTTACGTGAGGTGAAGCAGGCAATTAAATGTGGTGTGTGGAAGTCAATGAACAATGATGCGTGGAAGTCAAGGAACAATGATGCGTGGAAGTCAAGGAACAATGATGCGTGGAAGTCAATCAACAATGATGCGTGGAAGTCAAGAAACAATTATGTGTGGCACTCAATAACCAATGAAGCGTGGAAGTCAAGGAACAATGATGCGTGGCATAGGATGGTGAGCGTAAAAAAAAACAACTTTGTAAGATTGACCACATTCTTTTGTGCGTATGGTTTCACTACAGAACTTGAAACTTGTGGTGACCATTTGTTCTGACCACTTGTTCTGACCACTTGTTCTGACCACTTGTTCTGACCACTTGTTCTGACCACTTGTTCTGACCACTTGTTCTGACCATTTGTTCTGACCACTTGTTCTGACCACTTGTTCTGACCACTTGTTCTGACCACTTGTTCTGACCACTTGTTCTGACCACTTGTTCTGACCACTTGTTCTGACCACTTGTTCTGACCACTTGTTCTGACCATTTGCTCTGACCACTTGTTCTGACCACTTGTTCTGACCACTTGTTCTGACCACTTGTTCTGACCACTTGTTCTGACCACTTGCTCTGACCACTTGTTCTGACCACTTGTTCTGACCATTTGCTCTGACCACTTGTTCTGACCACTTGCTCTGACCACTTGTTCTCTATTGCACAAGCTTAACTTTGAAATAATATATACAAAGTAAAAATAAGCCCATTTTGCACTAAGATTGCAATGATATAACAGGTCTTAAAAGTCAAAACAGGTCCTATTGTGTGCCTTTAACCTTTAACAAGAGCCATTGACGGGTCGATTGTTGACACTCGACGTTAACATAACCCAGACGGGATTAAATGACAGTGTCGTCTGCCTGCATTTAGGTGTACTCCTGGCTTACCTCCGCCTGCCCCCGCGCACCCATATGGCCCAACCCACATGAGCCGGGAGAGGCCACTCGCCCCTGTGTCTGCATGTCGAGTGTTTACAACTGCGTGTAACATGCTGGAACTAGATGGTTACTTTGTCTACGGACAATACTTCTATTGTGCGACACTTTTTTAAACTTGTGAAATTCTAGACATAAGGGATTGAATTCACGAACCCCCTCCGCTGTGACGTATTGGATACGTATTGACGTATTCTGTGGGGGGGTTTTCCCTCCGGCCCTATGCCATACTGGCCCACCATATTGATATGATGGATTTCCGTTCGATCAGCATACATTTTTGAGAATTCATTTATATTGTGTTTGTATATTTTGTTTTCTCCGTGGAAAAACACATTGGGATTTATGAGTTTACAGTTTGTGTTTGTGAAAAGTATTCTTGAATTGGACTTTTTTAAAAATCAACCATAACAATGGTCGGAATATAACAAATAAATTAAAAAAAAAAAAAAACAGCATCAGCTTATCTTATAAGTCATTGCTAAGCTGCTCAGCTAACATAACAATACCATCAACCATTGACGTGAAAGAAGTGATCAAATTGTTCCTCAAATGTTGGCTACACGGATATCTTCAGTATCGCATTCATCGTAGACTTTAATAATAAGTTCTATTTTTAGCAACACAACGCTGAAAAGGCAATCACAGCGTTGTTTATTTTACCGATATAGGATATCATGTGACATGACAAACAAGTGCCTGGCTAGTCTATGGGCGGGAGCTGTTACTATTTTGGTCGAATATATATATATATATATATATATATATATATATATGTATATATATGTGATATACATATAAGAAACAGTAATTGAAGAAAAAAGACATAGATAAGGTTCACATATTTATTATGTTCACCAAACAGGGGAAGAAACTCTGATGCTCCCTCGGTCATTAAGCTCAAAGTTACAGGACATAAAAAAATCTGGCCATAATTTGACACTTGTAACCGTTGACGATTCACGGCACAGGAATGTTGGTACAAACTTGACTGTACCTCTAAATGGTTTATAGTGTCATTAGAACGTGTGTACAGTTCAACGAGGAAACACAAACATCACTCTCACAAACATCACTCTCACAAACATCACTCACACAAACATCACTCACACAAACATCACTCACACCATGTACATAAACACTCAAACACATAATTACATAAAAACTCCCACAAAAAATACATACATGAATAAACACTCACAAAAACACATACATAAATAAACACTCGCAAAAATACATACATGAATAAACACTCGCAAAAACACATACATGAATAAACACTCACAAAAACACATACAGTCACAAACGCTCACACAAACGCATACATACATAAACACTAACACACACATAAACGCAGCCATAAACATTCACATACACATTAACACATATATAAGTAAACGCACTTAAAACACACAAACACCACAAAGCCATAAACACAGATTTTTAAAAAAAACACACACACGCACACTGACAAACGCACGCAAAAAACAAATACACGCAAGCGAAATATTACGGAGTTGTCGAACTTTTTTAATTCACCGAAATTATTGACAGTCTAGTGGGCCTTGGGGACCCCAAATTATTGACAGTCTAGTGGGCCTTGGGGACCCCGAATTATTGACAGTCTAGTGGGCCTTGGGGACCCCGAATTATTGACAGTCTAGTGGGCCTTGGGGACCCCAAATTATTGACAGTCTAGTGGGCCTTGGGGACCCCAAATTATTGACAGTCTGGTGGGTCTTGGGGACCCCGAATTATTGACAGTCTGGTGGGTCTTGGAGACCCAGAATTATTGACAGTCTGGTGGGTCTTGGGGACACAGAATTATTGACAGTCTGGTGGGCCTTGTGAACCCTGAATTGTTGACAGTCTGGTGGGCCTTGTGGACCCAGAATTATTGACAGTCTGGTGGGTCTTGTGGACCCAGAATTATTGACAGTCTGGTGGGCCTTGTGAACCCTGAATTGATGACAGTCTGGTGGGCCTTGTGGACCCAGAATTATTGACAGTCTGGTGGGTCTTGTGGACCCCAATATTAAATCCAAGTTTAAAGTTGAGACATATGTCATTGTCACAGAACGGTTGTTACGGAGGAGGGCTCCGGTCCTGACTTAACACAAACTATTTTGACTTAGTAGTGGTCAGTACAGGACCGCTCATCTCTGTGATTTATATTGTGGGTGTCTAGGCGTTGAGACAGACAAAAGCACAACGTAGACTTGGACGAAATGCAGCAACTCAAACTCCAGGTGTCCAACGATAATGAAAGTATGTTTATTTCTAAGATATAGGTTTCTTCTATCATCTGTCGTCTTCTGGTCTCTAGCAAGTATTCCTTAACAACTGCTCAGTTCTATCGTAGCTCTTTTCTCTCTCTTCCTCAACTAATCCGTAGTTCTTCTCTATCTTCCTCAACTAACTACTGTCGCTCCTTTCCCTCTTCCTCAACTCCGTCGTACCTCTGTTCACTCTCCCTCAACTAACTTAACTCAGTGAAAGCTCTATCTTATATTTGATTCTCTACCCCCCATAGGTGGTCCAGGAATGCTATCTATAAACATACCCTTGTCCCCTAATTTCCGGTCAATTAGACCTTCCCATTGTTAACCCAAAAACTATCACGCGAAGTCTGGAAAACCCGAACATACTATTATCCAAAGAAACAATCCCCACTATATCAAGATGTGAGAGTCTATTAACCTTAACTTAACCCCATTAACAGCAGTTTCCTTCCATCCTATAAGTTACCTTAACAACAATGGAGCTCTGTCCTGTACCCCCGCCCCAGTCATTTGTGACAGTCATCTCAATGACACAACCACCCCACACCCTTTTTTTTTCTTGAAGTTTTCTTCAACCCCTTGTCTGGACATACAAGAATACAATTTTAAAGTGAAGTGAAGTGTCTTTTGGCAATGCAGATGTCCATTTCTTGCAATTGAATACAACACGCGAATAAATACAGGTATATTTTGGCACCTGTCCAGACAACGGTTTATATGCGTGTTTTTAATGATATTCAAAATAGGATATGCACTCTTACAGGTGTCGTGAAATCCTGTCGATAACTCCTCTCTCACCAATATCCCCAATTCGTAGACCGCTTCTTTTTTTTTTTTTTTGTACCCGCACGTTCTGTGATTTGCGTCTGTCGTAATGTATGCCGGGTGTCTGTCGCGATCCTGTCTTGAATAGCTGGGTGCCCCTGGAGACAGACGACCCTTCGTGGGAACACTTCGTGTGGCTTAGACGTCCAGGTTGTCGTGTTGCCTTCTGTGCGTGTTGCCTTCTGTGCGTGTTGCCTTCAGTGCGTGTTGCCTTCTGTGCGTGTTGCCTTCTGTGCGTGTTGCAACAACGACTCGGTTTGGGATTTATTCTTTAGTTCGAAGACGGAATTTCAAAAGTAATGACATGGAACATTTGTAACACAAAACCAATGTTGTGAAACAACTTGACATTTCTAGGTGTCAACAAAAACTAAAATTATCAATCGAAAAAAACAAACATTCTCTAAACAAGAAATATGCATGGCCATCGTCCGATTATGTATGGCCATCTGATAATCTTAATATGAGTTGTCGGTGGCGTGCAAGAGATTTTAGTGTGTGAAAACTTCTATGGCAATGGATAACGCGGCGTTCACAATCGATGACGAGACGCACTACGACTCCTCCCCTAAACTGTTCACAACTGCACCGCGTCACTATTTCTCGGACGCACCAAGTTTTGGTGCGCATGGACGCAGGCGACTTTCTGCCCCGGTGGCGTTCCCCCCAGGGAGGGTAATTCACGGCGAAAATGTCAACATCATTGAAGACGAGAGTTCTCTTAAATGGACTGCGTCACGTGACAGTGACAACGTTCAAATTGGTGGGCTCATCGTGAAGTCACGTGATTCCAAGAAACCAGTGGAGTCAAACGCAAATGGATGTGAATCGAACGTCGGTGGGATAGATTTATCAATCGTGAATGGTTTAGGGTCGAAGGTCAATGGATCGGATTCATCTATTACAACCAATGTAAGAATAAGCGCTAACCCAGACAACGATCATCTCTGCGATAAGCCGACAGATTATATTGAAGAGATTAAAAATGATAAAAAGAAGTTTGCCTCCAACACACTGTTGTCTCCTCCTAGGATTCCAGTACTGTCGCACCGTGTTTCCGCCCAAAAAACTCTGCAGCTGTCAGCTGACCTGAATACGGGTTCTCAGTCGGCTGATCTGGAAAACTACACAGAAAATGAGACGAAAGTGTCCGGCACTGATGCACACTCATGCTCTCCCATTGCTACGGGCCAAGACACGGAAAGACCAAACGTGGGAAATGGTGTGGAGGTTCGAAAGGAGGAGAATGGCGTCCGTGGGATTCCCGGTCAAGACGTCGGTGAGGGCAATGATGACGCCAACCGCAGTGACGGTATTCCCAACAACACCGCCCCACGTACAAGCATCGATCACACGGCACTTGACGACCTACAGCTGTTGACCGTCCCAGGTCCGGCTCGTCTGACCCTGGACATACCCGGCGACTCGGCCCAAGATGGCGCCGTTGTTGTTTCCATTCCGGTTCCGGTCCTCCCGCGCGCCCGAAGTGCTCCAGATTTAACGACGCCGGAACTTACTGGAGAAAAGGAAACGGCTAAATCTGAAGGTGTTGATACGGACAAAGACGGCGTCACGGGCAAGGAAAAAGTCTTGGTAACTATTTATTATTAAACTAAGTGCCATGTACTCCCTCGTGAGTGCCGTGTACTCCCTCATGTGTGTCATGTACTCCCTCATGTGTGCCATGTACTCCCTCATGTGTGCCATTTACTCCCTCATGTGTGCCATGTACTCCCATTTTGTGCCTGTTACTCACTCATGTGTACCATTTACTCCCTCATGTGTACCATGTACTCCCCATTTTGTGCAAGGTACTCACTCATGTGTGCCATATACACCTGTTATGAGTGCCATGTACTCCCTCATGTGTGCAATGTTCTCCCTATTTTGTGCCTGGTACTCACTCATGTATGCCATATACACCTGATATGAGTGCCATGTACTCCGTTTAAAAGTGACGCGTACTCCCTCTATAAGTGCCGTGTACTCAATGTATAATTACATTGTACTACCTCTATAAGTGCCGTTACTCCCCAAATGAGTGCCATCAATTCCCCCGAGTGCTGTCTACTCCCCCTATGATGAGTGGCTTAATATCAGATTTATATGCGTGACATTTGTGATAGCTTAATTATTAGTCTCATTTTTGCAACTGGATATAGCTTCTCAAATCCTAATAACAGTATGTGTTACTTTTCATGTCTATCTAAAGGTATGTGTTACTTCTCATGACTAAGTAGCGGTATGCCTAACTTCTCAAATATGTTTGACTCTTAAATTGTCTGTCTATATTTGACTATATTCATCCAAACAAAGGACAGTTCCATCAATTGGGACGTGTGTGTGTGCGTCCCATCCCTACCCTGTGCCCTGCGTCCAATCACTACCCTGTGCCCTACGTCCAATCATATCATGTGCCCTACGTCCAATCACTACCATGTGCCCTGCGTCCAATCACTACCCTGTGCCCTGCATCCAATCACTACCCTGTGCCCTACGTCCAATCATATCATGTGCCCTACCTCCAATCCCTACCATGTGCCCTGCGTCCAATCACTACCCTGTGCCCTACATATCATGTGCCCTACGTCCAATCACTACCATGTGCCCTGCGTCCAATCACTACCCTGTGCCCAGCATCCAATCACTACCCTGTGCCCTGCGTCCAATCACTACCCTGTGCCCTACGTCCAATCACTACCCTGTGCTCTTCGTCCAATCACTACCCTGTGCCCTACGTCCAATCACTACCCTGTGCCCTACGTCCAATCACTACCCTGTGCCCTGCGTCCAATCACTACCCTGTGCCCTGCGTCCAATCACTACCCTGTGCCCTACGTCCAATCATTACCATATGCCCTAGGTTTCTTTTAACATATCCGAAAGTCTATTTTTTCTACATGTTTCTAACGTGTTGTGTCAACGCATCCCCAATTAACACTTGAATGTGTTGGAATGATTCAATAACATAGATTCCAGTGGCCTCCGTGTTATATGTGTATGTTTGTCAAGTGTTTAAGCTCGTGCAAGTTGTATCATTCATAGACAGAGGTGAATGTTGTATCATTCATAGACAGGTGAATTTTGTAGCATTCATAGACAGGTGAAAGTTGTATCATTCATAGACAGAGGTGACAGTTGTATCATTCATAGACAAACATTTACCAATCATAGCTAGAAGTGACAAAAACTTGAAAAACTTGTTAGGATTGGAAGTTTAGCCAGGTCTATACACTGAATGGATGTCCAATCGTTAGGCGACTACACTACAAATTAGTAAATCGTTAGGCGACTACACTACAAATTAGTACAGGGTTCCTGAATCGGGATCCCGGGTTCCCGCACAACTTTTAGTGAGCAAAGACTTGGCGGGAAATCTTTCCATCCCGGGAAATACCGGTTACAAAATTTCAGAATATGTATATATATTTATTTATTATTATTTTATTTTAGCAACTCAAAAATTGTCAAAGTTTTTTTTTTCTATAAGCCTGAACCATACAAATCGTGTTTAATGCTCTGAACTATCAAACTTAACGACCCCAGTTCACAGGTTCTCAAGCTCCTTAAAGTCACGACCACATTCATAAATATATATATAGAAGCAAAATGACCTTAACCACAATAAACTGGAAATAAAATGAATCTAAATAGTTTAAATTCTTGTACTTTAAAACTTATCAAATGTAGATTTTTCTATAAAATTTAATTGTAATTGACACGATATTTAATCCCATGATTGAAACTCAAACTTTTAGATGCCAATTTAAAATATTTGAAATTTAAACTTTTAAACACAAATTGACAATATTTAAAATACTATTCCTCTTACGTCTATTGTTTCACCGGCTACCCCATAGAAATGTATTTTGCAACCTCAAGTAAGGTCACGTCCCAAAAGCTTGGAACCTGCACTCTAGTAATTTGATTATAAATTACACCAGACTTCTTATGTGTCAGCCTCACTAGTATGTAGTGGTTTTACCTCAAATATCAACCTAGTAAAACATATATAAATGCATGTAACATGATATCTGGCGATGATAACATGATATCTGGCGATCAATTGTGGAATGTAAATATGGCAGATAGTTGTACAATGAATTGTGTGACTGGACGCGTCTTCGGTGCTGGCGAGGGGTATGGACTTATGCTAGTGCAAGGTGTGGTAGTGACTAATGATGTTAGTGCAAGGTGTGGTAGTGACCAATGATGTTAGTGCTAGCGCGGTAATAAAATATGGTAGTGCGAGGTGGGGTTGTGAAGAATGATGTTAGTGCGAGGTGGGGTTGTGAAGAATGATGTTAGTGCGAGGTGGGGTTGTGAAGAATGTTGTTAATGCGAGGTGGGGTTGTGAAGAATGACGTTAATGCGAGGTGGGGTTGTGAAGAATGTTGTTAATGCGAGGCGGGGTTGTGAAGAATGACGTAAATGCGAGGTGGGGTTGTGAAGAATGATGTTAATGCCAGGTGGGGTTGTGAAGAATGACGTTAGTGCGAGGTGGGGTTGTGAAGAATGTTGTTAATGCGAGGTGGGGTTGTGAAGAATGACGTTAATGCGAGGTGGGGTTGTGAAGAATGATGTTAATGCCAGGTGGGGTTGTGAAGAATGTTGTTAATGCGAGGTGGGTTGTGAAGAATGACGTTAATGCGAGGTGGGGTTGTGAAGAATGTTGTTAATGCGAGGTGGGGTTGTGAAGAATGATGTTAATGCGAGATGGGGTTGTGAAGAATGATGTTAATGCGAGGTGGGGTTGTGAAGAATGTTGTTAATGCGAGGTGGGGTTGTGAAGAATGTTGTTAATGCGAGGTGGGGTTGTGAAGAATGATGTTAGTGCGAGATGGGGTTGTGAAGAATGATGTTAATGCGAGATGGGGTTGTGAAGAATGTTGTTAATGCGAGGTGGGGTTGTGAAGAATGATGTTAGTGCGAGGTGGGGTTGTGAAGAATGATGTTAATGCGAGGTGGGGTTGTGAAGAATGATGTTAATGCGAGGTGGGGTTGTGAAGAATGTTGTTAATGCGAGGTGGGGTTGTGAAGAATGATCTTGATGCTAGATGTGGTAGTTCAGAATTATCTTGATGCTAGATGTGGTAGTTCAGAATGATCTTGATGCGAGATGTGGTAGTGAAGAATGGTGTTATTGGGAGATGTGGTAGTGACAGTTATTGTTTTCTGTTTGACTTCGAGTTAGCTTCTTTTTAGCTACGTCCTAATTTAGTTACGCGTGTAATGACCAGCTGAGCAAGGAACATGTACGTGGTGCAGCACATGTGTTGACCGTGGGAAATTGATGTGCGTCTTTTTATGTACACGAATTCCGTGTGTACTAAAATGTCGCAATATTTGTATCCATATAATTATTGCTGTAAACAAATTCAGACAGTGTACCAGAACTTTAAGTTGGTAGGTATTTCTTGTATAATCTTTAAAAGGTTCTCTACAAGTCTGTATGCTGTCTTTGCTCCTACCACTCTGTAATGCTGTCTTTGCTCCTACAAATATGTGTGCTGTCTTTGCTCCTACAAGTCTGTATGCTGTCTTTGCTCCTAAAAGTATGTACGATGTCTTTGCTGCTACAAATATGTATGCTGTCTTTGCTACCGGGTTATTGCCCGGACAAACACCCTTATATTTTCTAATACACCTTTACTTCGTGTGATGATTTATTTATTTATTTTAATTTTTTTGTTGTGATGTCAACCTTTTTTATTGTCGTTACAATAACAAAAAAAAAACACATTAAAATGAAGTAAGTTAATCTTTTTAGTAAAGTTAAAGAATAACAATAAACCTAACAGTGGTAGTTAAATCAGAAATTCATTAATCTAAAGTTAATTTGGATACTCCATACCTGAAAATCTCGTCACGTTCTTTATCAACTTCCGGTGTAGAATTGACCTAATTATTTATATACTTGGATTATATGTTTATATTAAGGTAATAATCTACCTACTTACAATTTATATACCGACTTGCACACGTATCTGGTTTTATAGACCTGCATTTTTTGTTATTACGGTATATAATTCTATAATCCGCAATATAACGACCATCACAACGTTTCAAAACTGCTTTCAAAACACATCTTTTTAAACTCTACTAACCTGACTGATTCCCACCTCTGACCGAAAAACGATGCTGCTGGATGATGGCTTGACATTTAAAAAAAAATTAAAATATACATTTGTTTTTTATTTCATTAATGAATGTTAATTAATTTTTTAAGTTTTTGACTATGTTTGTTAAATTGTATGTACAGCGTGGTGAGCCCAGCCCTAGGCCGGGATACCACGCTATATAAAACCCCGTAAAATATATATATATATCTTTTTATCTTTTATCCAAACTTTACAATGACGGGGGTAATGATAGATGGCATCCATCTGCAAAAAAAAAAAGAAATTAAAAAATTAAAATATAATCTAAACTTAGTATAGGCTACTCCAACCTAATCTCACCTCATATCGTCTAGGCTAATCGGCTTAAGATCTTTTGTGTGTTACAGAAGGAGATGACCAGAGAGGAGATCCTAAAGACGTACCGCCTCCACTTCTTCGTCTGCCTCATCTTCCTGGTGACACTGATCTCTGTGAGCCTGGCCTGGTACTACAAGAACATGGCCACGGAGCACATCTACGCCACGCAGGCCATTTTTTTCGACCCCAGGAGCAGGGAGCTCACGCTTACAGGTGAGTCCCTACAAGAACACGGGCCGGAAACAGCGGAGTGGCTGGTCAGTTCGTGACGTCCAGTGCTGGTCCTTTATTTCGCCGCCAATAATTAACGAGAATCACAATGCGTAGAGAATAAACTTTTTAAAATGTTTTTTGAAGTATGTGAAGTGGTCTGAAAATATATAGTCTTCAGAAGTGATCCAATGATTCATCCATTCATACACTGTCCATTTGTCTGCGGTTACTCTAACAAACAGCTTGAAAACGGGATCTTTTTCTTTTCAAAACTTCTAATGGACCTCGAAGGATGACTATTTTTTATCCATGCCAAGATCCATACATCTGTCCAGAAGTATCCGAAATGCTCTGTGTTTCTTTAGCTCACTGTATCATATCATTGTTAAAAAGTTTTTATTTGAATTGAAATTAGTTGTGTTGGTTTATCTATTGGTCTATGTGTTGGTCCAACTGTTCGTCTGTCTATTGGACTTTCTGCTAGTCTGACTGTTGGTCTGACTTTTGGTCTGTCTGTTGGTCTGTCTATTGGTCTATCTGTTGATCTGTAAGTTGGTCTGTCTGTTAGTCTGTCTCTCTGTTGGTCTTTCTGTTGGTCTGTCTGTTGGTCTGTCTGTTGATCTGTATGTTGATCTGTCTGTTGTTCTGTCTTTCTGTCTCTCTGTTGGTCTGTCTGTCTCTCTGTTGGTCTGTCTGTTGGTCTGTCTGTTGGTCTGTCTGTCTGTCTCTGTTGGTCTGTCTTTTGGTCTGTCTGTCTGTCTCTGTTGGTCTGTCTGTTGGTCTTTCTGTCTGTCTCTGTTGGTCTGTCTGTTGGTCTGTCTGTCTGTCTCTGTTGGTCTGTCTGTTGGTCTGTCTGTCTCTGTTGGACTGTCTGTTGGTCTGTCTGTCCGTCTCTGTTGGTCTGTCTGTTGGTCTGTCTGTTTGTTGGTCTGTCTGTTGGGCGTACTTTGACGTTTTTGTTTTTGAGCGTCATTAAACATGGGAGCTGTGCGCGAAACGCTCTCCAAGGAACTTGAACTCGCGCTCTTAATGGGGAGAGAACTTTGAATAAGGGGCGGTTTGTTTGTTTTGTCCAATCTGTTTCAGGATAAGACCTCCTCGTATTCAAGTAGAAATATATAAGCTCCACAATATTGAGTAACTAGAGGCGATGTACCGATAAGCGGAATTACAAATTTAATAAAATAATAAATAATTAATTTTGAAGCTTGTGGATTTGTCCATTTATATTTGTCCTTTTCATACCTTAAATGTAGAATAATTTAGGTTTTGTTAATATCTATATATATTGTGTTCCAGACCCAAACAACGGCCACAAGATTCACGCCAAACTTGGGCAAGACATGCCCGACTGGCAGCTCCCATTACACTGTCCAATCGTCATGGGCGACAACCCTCATGTCAAGGAGTGCGTTTGGAAGAACCACGCCATATTGAGGATCGTTCATTTCCGGGACACGTACGTTCAGTGCTACAACGTCTCGTGGGAAAGTTTACACGCCGAGGTAAGGGCCGAGGGGTTTGACAGTTACTGTAAGCGTGTGTATGTCTGTGCATTGTTCTCTTTCAATATCACACACAACTTAGGGACAGATGCTCTCCTGCTGAATAATAACTGAACCAGACCCAAAAAAAAAAAAGTTAATGTCTTATCTAAGAGTTAAATAAAAGCTTATAACCGTATACAACACACAACTTAGGGACAGATGCTCTCCTGCTTAATAATAACTGAACCAGACCCAAAAAAAAAAAAAAAGTTAATGTCTTATCTAAGAGTTAAATAAAAGCTTATAACCGTATACATTTAATTGTGGAGTGAATGTTTCAACACTTGTGGCAAGTCATGGGATCTTTTTAACATGGAATCTTTTTTCCTCAAGAGACCATCCCAGATATTTAACACTAACTCTTATTAATCCTTGACTTTCTAGTAGAGCTAAAATCTTTTCAAAAGTAGTCTTGTTTTTTGGTGGGTTTTTTTTTTTTCTTTTGGTTCGGTAAAACAACAAATATTTCAGTAATTACAATACAATTAAAGTACATTTGATAGACTTTGATTGTGTTTAATTATACAATACACTCTCTGAAATGAGATTTACCCTGCGTGTAACTAAAGCCCCACTATTTGCAGCACGTGCCTTACGACTGCTTCAATATCCAAGATGGCGTGTGGTACGGCCCGTCCAACCAATCACAGAGCATGTATCCCATACGCGGTGAGTTCCAGCTCGTGCCGAAGGACTACACCGTCCGGAACAACGGCATCTTCAGCTCGGTGGTCGACTTCTACTGGCTGTCATCCACTGGCGTCGGCCTTTACCTTCAACCCGACAACCCTCTACAGATCGTGTGGGGCAGCTCGGGGCTCTGCGTACTCTCTAACTTCACGGGCCCGTTTTACCATCAGGAAAACTCTCAGACCCCACCCTATCTCAACTACACACTGTGTAACGGGGTTGACCCGGTCCAAACGAATGCTTACATGCAGAAAATGTTGGTGCCTCGGGAAGGAATCAAGCGTCCAGATGACAAATATTTTCTAGGCCCTTACTGGTCTCTGAGGAAGGCAGCTCAAGATGATGACACAGGAAGTCAAATAGAAGACCTCGCTGGGAAGCTGGTGGACTTTGGGTTTCAAGACAGCAAGATAATCCTAGACGGATCTTGGGAAAAACATTTCGGAGATCTGAAATTCAACCCTGAAAAATTCCAAAATTTCAGCGACCAGGTGGACACTCTGAAACAAAGTGGCTTCGACGTTGTTGTGCCCATCAGTCCTTACTTTGAATTAACGAGTGACAACTTTTACGATGTAAGTTTTGTAATCTCTAATCAATACTTAAAAAACCTCAGATATATTTCAGACACCGTCTCTATTCTCCTGTTTCCTATAATCCATTATTGCTAACATGACCTCGATAACATCATCAAGCTGTAGCTCATCGATCAACTAGTCATGATTGTTACCTCATGTAATGATTGTTATCTCCTGAAAAGATTGTTAATCATTTTGCAGGGCGTGACCCAGTCGATGTTTGTGCTGGACGCGGGTGGTCAAGTTCCTGGACTGACTAATTTTGAAGGAGGAATTGCTGCTATCCTTGATGTATTGAACGCTAAGGCTGTAACATGGATGGAGAATAAGACAAAGGTAATAAAGATGTATGCATAATAAGACAAAGATAAAAGATAATAAAGATGGATGGATAATGAGGCAAAGGTTATAAAGATGGATGAATAATAAGACAAAGATAATAAAGATGGATGGATAATAATGCAAAGGTAATAAAGATGGATGGATTATAAGACAAAGATAAAAGGTAATAAATATAGATGGATAATAAGACAAAGGTAATAAAGATGTATGGATAGTAAGACAAAGGTAATAAAGATGGATGGATAATAAGACAAAGGTAATAAAGATGGATGAATAATAAGACAAAGGTAATAAAGATGTATGTATAGTAAGACAAAGGTAATAAAGATGGATGGATAATAAGACAAAGGTAATAAAGATGGATGAATAATAAGACAAAGGTAATAAGGATGTATGTATAGTAAGACAAAGGTAATAAAGATGTATGGATAGTAAGACAAAGGTAATAAAGATGGATGAATAATAAGTCAAAGGTAATAAAGATGTATGGATAGTAAGACAAAGGTAATAAAGATGAATGGTTAATAAGACAAAGATAATTAAGATGGATGAATAATAAGACAAAGATAATAAAGATGGATGGATAATAAGACAAAGGTAATAAAGATGGATGGATAATAAGACAAAGATAATTAAGATGGATGAATAATAAGACAAAGATAATAAAGATGGATGGATAATAAGACAAAGGTAATAAAGATGGATGGATTATAAGACAAAGATAATAAAGATGGATGAATAATAAGACAAAGGTAATAAAGATGGATGAATAATAAGACAAAGGTAATAAAGATAGATTGATAATAAGACAAAGGTAATAAAGATGAATTGATAATAAGACAAAGATAATAAAGATGGATGGATAATAATGCAAAGGTAATAAAGATGGATGAATTATAAGACAAATATAAAAGATAATAAATATAGATGGATAATAAGACAAAGGTAATTAAGATATATGGATAATAAGACACAGATAAATGGTAATAAAGATCAATGGATAATAAGACACAGATAAATGGTAATAAAGATCAATGGATAATAAGACACAGATAAATGGTAATAAAGATCAATGGATAATAAGATAAAGGTAATAAAGATAGATGGATAATATGACAAAGGTAATAAAGATAGATGGATTATAAGACAAAGGTAATAAAGATAGATTGATAATAAAACAAAGGTAATAAAGATGGATGGATAATAAAGCAAAGTTAATAAAGATGGATGTATAATAAGACAAAGATAAAAGGTAATAAAGATAGATGGATGATGAGGCAAAGTTAAAAATGATAGATATAGATAATAAGACATAGATAATAACGATGGATGGATAATAAGACAAAAGTAATAAAGGTCACAATTTTTTAATAATTTTTTTTGGTCTTACATATAAATGAAGAAAACTGTTACCCACCATAACCCATCAGTTTGTTGAATGCTGCTGTAGATCATGTAGGAAGTATATATCTAAATTCTAATTCCAACCCTGGCTGCAAAAAAAAAAATTGCTTAGAAAATGGTTGCCTCTAGTGTACATGTTATGGTCCTTCAAACTAACTTTCATCTTTTTAAAATGCATGTATCTCTCTCACCAGACACTGTCTGATACCCTCAGACAGAAGAATTTTCGGCTCACCTACGGAAGCAAAGCCTGGTTGCCGTACAAGCCACACTTCTCACAGCCCAGCGGAACTCCAAACATGTTTAGGTATGTGTGCATATTTGTTCAGATAATTTAAGACCATGTGGTAAGAGATGGTGGTAGCATTGCCAAAACGAGGATCCCAGTTCGCACAAACATCGGGACAACGGAAAGCCAGAGGTACCTAGGACAAAAGTTCGTCACTGCTCAGCCACAACCACTAATGCCAGTCACATGCTAATTTCTGCATTAAGATATTGTGGAATGACCATTTCATGATCAGGTTGGTTTTAGCCTGTGAAGAGACCACGTAAAAGCCAAAGCTATAACATGCCCAGAACCCAAGCATGGTGGAAACTAAAATGCCACCACACTAGAGTTTGGCGACTCAATTTCAAAGGAACCACCGGACAGTTCAAAGTCTGGACAGTTGAAACCAACGGATAGTTCAAACCACACTACTAACCTTAACCATACAGAGTGACAGGTAACATGCTCCACCTCCTCCAAAAGGATTACTAAATACGGGTTTGAATTGGGATGATCATGTGACCTGGATGTAGCTGGATTAAATTTAGCTAAGAAATAGTCACATGCTTCCATAATATGTAATATAATTGGGACCAACTGAGTTATCTGTACATTACCTCCCCTCTTTATAAAGTGTCTATTTTTTGGTAAATCAATGAGGGGAATTTGTAAACGGCCATGTTTGAGTGTGTAGTGTGTAGACTGTAACTATAAAACTCTTTGAAAGTTCTTTCCTGTCTCTCATCGTCTACGTTTTGGTTTCAGTTTTTGTACACGTTTCTCATTCTACTTCCAGGAAGGCAATGACGGAAATGTTCCACGATCATGATTACCCCCAATCTCTCCTGATTGTTGAGCACACGTCCAGCTCTCGCCACGTCCCGGCGCTCATCCCTGTCCTGACTGACGTTGGCGTCGTGGACGGCCGAAACTGCCTTGTTGGTGCCATAGAGACGGCTCTCACCCTGGGGCTCATGGGATATCCCTTCCTCTTGTTGGAGGGCGTTGTGGAGAAACCCGAGACAAGACTGAGCGAGTGGGTATTTAATGGCAGAGGGCGGTAAAATTAGTCTCATGATCCCGGTACAGCAAGAACTGATGATCGACCTGGAACTACTTTGTTTTTTTTCAACATGTCTGACCTAATTTTTGAGAGAAGAATAACTTAATCTTGTTCCTGTACAACATTTAAAGGATTTATCACTTTTTTTAAAATCTTTTTTTGTTGTTTTTAAAATCAAGCAACGCTTGACTTATTGGATTCTATTTAATGAATTGGGTGAGATGGCAAGAGTAAAATGTATGATTACTCAATAACCTTTCATTTAACAGAGAGCTGTTTTTGAGGTGGTTGCAACTGGCCGCCGTATTCCCCGCTCATCAATACACGGCGGTGCCTTGGAACTATGGGAATGACATCATCAACATGGCCACCAACGTCACTTCCCTCCATGAACAGCTTGTGATGGCGGAGATGAACAAGAAATACCTCATGGAAGAGGTGGGGAGTGGTCTCCCCATTTTGCGCCCCATCTGGTGGCTGGACCCCAGTAACGAGACACTGCATAAACTAGAGGTATGACGTCAGTTATTGCCCTTATAAATAATAGGCGGCCCACATTGTCCCGGTACAAGAAGGTTTATGGTTTTTCTGAGCAGTGTTAACCTCAATGACGCCACTAACCACAAGTATCTCAATGATGCCACTAACCACTAGTATCTCAATGACGTCACTAACCACAAGTATCTGTCCTCCACAGATTAAAGACCAGTTCCTGATAGGGAACGAGCTCCTGGTCGCACCTGTGTTATGTGAGGGAGTACAGACCAGGGATGTTTACTTTCCGCCTGGAAATTGGTTGGACCCAAATGGGATATTATCAGTGGGCCCAAAAATATTACTGAATCAGACAGTGCCTAGGGATACACTCCTATTTTACAGAAAAGCAATGGTCACCCAATGACCAATGGTAACCCAGTTATCAAGGAGTGAAACATCAACCAATGGTGACCCAGTGATTATATAAGACATAATAGCCAACACTGACCTAACGGTGACTAACAGTGACCTACTAGACTACAGACATCCAACGGGACTTACCAGAACAAGACTGTAGCCTCTGTGATGTTATATTTATTTGTATGTTGAAATAGAACAAAATGTCAGAACAAAATGTGACAGCAAATTGTGAGAACAAAATATCATAGTAAAATATCATAATAAAATATCAGAAAAAAATATTTGAACAATATTTCAGAATAAAATATCAGAACAATATATCAGAACAAAATATCATAATAAAATATCAGAACAAAATATTAGAACAATATATCGGAACAAAATATTAGAACATAAAATCAAAATATCTTACACAAAAATCTGTTTTATTTAAATAGATTTGCCTTGTAAAAACTGAACTAAAAAATATTTTTTAATTATTTTAAAAGGAAAGAATTTGATAAAATTGTAAGGTTTTTAAATAGAGTATACATGGAAATTCCTAAGCTTAAGTTCAAGACGAGTTTATATCAAAATGAATGTAATGTAATTTTTTTTAATATTGGGTCAGGAGGGAATAATTTTTTTTCCCCAATTATTTTTATTTTTACTTTGGGGGTTAGTAGTAATAGTAGTGTGTAGTGCTTTAGAATGTGACCTCTGCATTGCTAAAAGTGTTGTGTTTAACCTTAGTTTCAATAAAACACTATCTTTACTGAACACAGAACGCACAAAAGTTGAACAATATTTTAAGTCAGTTTACACAGTTTCTGAAAGTCCTCATTCCCACCAATATAAATATTTATTTTATTATAAATTTTTTAGTCTTTTGCACATCTGTTGATAATAAATGATTTGAACACTTGTATTCTGTCATGACATATGTTTTGTATGCCAACATATCATACATACTTAAGACATCTGATTAAAATCTCATATCCTTGTCTTTTCTAACTTGATATGGTGTAGATCTAACTGCAATTTCTTTTTATATTTTAAAGGTTTTATAACAATCAGGGCTAAATGAATTGCACATTTTTCAACACAGAAGTTGCGTTTTTTTTGTTTTTGTTTTTAACAAGGTAAAGAATTGATTTCATTTTAAAAATATTAGATTACTGTGTGATATGGTGAGAACATTTTGAAAACATGTTAGTGTTATATTACTATGTGACATTATGAGAACATAATGAAATCATGTTAGATCACTATGTGACATAATGAGAACAGATTGAAAACGTGTTAGATCACTAAGTGACATGGTGAGAACAGATTGAAAAGATAATATAAGTCTCCCTTTTTTTCTTGTATTTGTGAGATAGAGAAAAAATATTGATTTGTTGTTGAAAAAGTCCCATAGCCATGAGTTCTATAACTAAAATGACAAGTGTTTTACTGATGATGATGTTATAATGGTCGATGATGTTATAATGGGTGATGATGTTATAATGGTCGATGATGTTATAATGGGTGATGATGTTATAATGGGTGATGATGTTGTTATTGGGGATGATGTTGCTATTGGGGATGATGTTTTTAAAAGTTGAAGTTAATTGTATTCTTTGTAATTACTTCATACATGTTGTTGTCATTGCTAGATGATCTAGGCGTGGGTGGGCCATTAATCTATTTTTGGTTTTGTTATTGATCTATGTTTTGGTGGGCTATTGATCTAGGCTAGGGGGGAGTATATAAATACTAGGTTAGTGTACACTTTGCTTGTAATCAATTTGGTAGTCTTTAACTCAGTGCCAGAAAAATGCATCTTGCAAATACTTTAATGCATTTCTAAGGTTGGATGACTAATCTGGACATCTAGTTGTGAACAGGTTCTGCTAATGTGCCTTTTACCAGCATTTATCTTTATTCTTGTGCATTTGCGTACAGATGAAATGGTTGTTCATCTACCAAATGTTTTATCTTGTCTATGCTGATCAATGAACATAATGACATTTAACTGAGTTGTTCAGTTCATTAAATGTGTTGCTGTTTTATTTGTTTTGTTTTTTTCAAACAAAGCAGGGGAAATACTGCCATGGAGCAGTTCACCCGTCAAAGTTACAATTTCACATCAAAGTTACAATTTCACGTCAAAGTTACACTTTCACGTTATACATAACTCGTTTCCCACATTGGTGTTTATAAAAATGTGTACTGTTGTATTTTGAAGTACACAAGTATACAGTTAGATTGAAAAGAAATTCATTTAAATTAATGCTTTAAATGAACAATCAATGTACCAGTAACTAGTAAAACCCGACATAAGTTTATCTCAGAATAATGAAATAAGAGTAATTTAATAAGTTTGCTTGGTTTTTTTTAAACAAATTAAAGATTTATATTTTATTTATGATCACAAGAAGTTTTGTTGATATGAAGGCATTTAAGTTTAAGAAATCAAAATATAAAATTTCCTATATCATAAATAATTTTTTTCCATTGTTGATAGTCTTCCACTGCTGATAATCTTCCACTGTTGATATTCTTCCATTGCTGATAATCTTCCAGTATGCCTTGGCCACATTCCAATATCTCAAAGTAACCAGCTAACACATATGACAAATTTAGTAGTCATCACATGTTGTCTAATAAATGTGTTGTGGGGTGCAATGAAATAAACTTTTGTCAGGAGTTTAACAAAATGGGCTATTTTTTTTTTAAATAAAATTAAACATCCCATAATTTGACTGTTTCTTTTCAACATCTATTTTATTAAAATTAAGATACGATAAGATACATTTATTCATTCAAGAAATGGAATCTTTTTGTGTGTTTTTTCCATTCGTCATATATTCTATTTTTTCAGTCTTAAAAATCCTAGTTTGAGTTTTTCGTTATTTTTTTTTTAAAAATAAGTCTGTAGCAAGACTTTCCTTGAATAATTGTGCAAAGTCTGTAGCAAGAATTTCCCTGAATAATTGTGCGGTACGAAAAAACTGTCGAATTCTTTGATGTGAGTTGTAATTTTGAGCCGAGTCTTGGCTTTTTTGTTTGAACGGAGTTCACGTTTATTTAGTTTGTCCAAAGATCATAAACTCTTTATGTCTGTAGTCGATTTGTCTTTGTATGTTTGTCATATGCCAGAGTAAATAATTTGGGATGAGAAAAAAAAAAGAATGGTACGACACAAAAAGATACCAGATACGCGTATCAGTCAACCTGACATGCTTCAAGCCACACCCTGTGGACCAGGACCTTTTGGGGAAAAAAAAGGGGGGGGGGGGGTTAAATGTGAGTCAGTCCTGGTTTTTTTGTTTTGGTGACAACGGTAGAACCGAATTTGTCCAGGAAGTAGTTCCGCCCTGACAACTGTTCTATTTTCCGGAATCTTTAGTTTGTCCTTTGAAACCATCAAGACACTCCGATTGATGCTTTGGCTGACTCTGTCTGTGGCTGCGCAGATGACTGATGAGACCAAGTCTGTCTGTGGCTGCGCAGATGACTGATGAGACCAAGTCTGTCTGTGGCTGCGCAGATGACTGATGAGACCAAGTCTGTCTAAGGCTGCGCAGATGACTGATGAGACCAAGTCTGTCTAAGGCTGCGCAGATGACTGATAAGACCAAGTCTGTCTGTGGCTGCGCAAATGGCTGAGAGACCAATTCTGTCTGTGGCTGCGCAGATGGGTGATGAGACCAATTCTGTCTGTGGCTGCGCAGGTGGCTGATGAGACCAATTCTGTCTGTGGCTGCGCAGATGGGTGATGAGACCAATACTATATGTGGCTGCGTAGATGGCTGATAAGATAATTATGTATGTGGCTGTGCAGACGGCTGATGAGACCAAGTCTGTCTGTGGCTGCGCAGATGGGTAATGAGACCAATACTGTCTGTGGATGCGCAGATGGTTGATGAGACCAATACTATATGTGGCTGCGCAGAGGGCTGATGAGACCAAGTATGTCTTTGGCTGCGAAGATGGCTGATGAGACCGATTCTGGCACGAAATGGTATTGTGCAGTAGGTGCAAGCAGTTTGGGAACAAGACTTCCCGGGGATGCACCTAGACAGTCAATATTTTGCCGCATTTCTCTAAAAAATTATATCCTTGGGCTTTAATGAAAAAAAATTGTTAAACACGTTGGTCGAGCCGAGAAAAAACGTTGGTCGAGCCGAGAAAAAGAGGCGCACAAGGTGAAGACTAAAAATAAGTACCCCTCTCTTGAATAAATGGAAAAAGATTTATGATACAGAGACACACAAATCATAATATATAATGCTTATATTATTGTCCTATAAATTACATTGCTTTATTGATGCAAGGGTGCTGGGGACCTTCCCTTCGAACGAGGGAGTGAAAAGGAGCAGAGATCGAGCAAAAGTGGTGGAGTGGTCTGGGGAGGACCTGTGAAGTACAAGCCATTTATCGTTTAATTCACAATAAAGGTACAATCTAAATACAATTGTGGCGCCCCTCCGCTGATGTTGGCGCCCCTCCCCTGATGTTGGCGCCCCTCCCCTGTTGGCGCCCCTCCCCTGATATTGGCGCCCCTCCCCTGATGTTGGCGCTCCTCCCCTGATGTTGGCGCCCCTCCCCTGATGTTGGCGCCCGTCCCCTGATGTTGGTGCCCGTGGCGAGTGGCACTTCACTTAACTGTTGTACTTTTTATTCTATTCATCCATGCTGTTAACAAAATAAAACGACTGTCTCACCAAATCTTCCGTCATGATTACCTTCTCAGAGACAGTTTACGACCTGCTTTGTTTCTCTCACTCATTCTGTTCGCCCCCTAATCCTATAACTTGCTATACCGGCACATGGAGATGCTCAATATGCCTATCATTACTATGCTAAACATTACGTCATTACAAGTACGTTCAAATTCAAGCCCTTCCCCAACACACACAAAATAATTGATTCCTTGTCATGGGACCCTAGAAGGGTTCTAGTCATGTGACTCAATAGCCTTTAGGTTAACCCTGCACTGTGTGCAAGTGATGGATGGCTCCTCTCTAGATGTAATGTTTCTAGGGTCTAGCAGGGGATAGATGGATCATCACGAGGGTTAGTGTTTCTAGGATTTAGCTCAGAATAGCACCGCAAAACTCATCTTCAATTTGTACGAGATAAACTACCCCCATATAAATATAAATATTTATATTTATTAGCAAATAAAAAGTTCAGGAACGCCGTTCCCATGCCTTACTGCAGAACTCGAGCTATGATTGTAGAAGACCGATATAAAACCGGTAACATGTTTGAACGAAAAAAAAAATAATCCTAGCTGACACATAGAAGACTGTGGTTGAGACATAGAAGACTGTGGTTGAGACATAGAAGACTGTGGTTGAGACATAGTGGTTGTGGTTGAGACATAGAAGACTGTGGTTGAGACATAGAAGAATGTGGTTGAGACATAGAAGACTGTGGTTGAGACATAGAAGACTGTGGTTGAGACATAGAGACTGTGGTTGAGACATAGTGGTTGTGGTTGAGACATAGAAGACTGTGGTTGAGACATAGAAGACTGTGGTTGAGACATAGAAGACTGTGGTTGAGGCATAGAAGAATGGGGTTGAGACATAGAAGACTGTGGTTGAGACATAGTGGTTGTGGTTGAGACATAGTGGTTGTGGTTGAGACATAGAAGACTGTGGTTGAGACATAGAAGACTGTGGTTGAGACATAGAAGACTTTGGTTGAGACATAGAAGACTGTGGTTGGGGCATAGAAGACTGCGGTTGAGACATAGTGGTTGTGGTTGAGACATAGAAGACTGTGGTTGAGACATAGAAGACTGTGGTTGAGACATAGAAGACTGTGGTTGAGACATAGAAGACTGTGGTTGAGACATAGTGGTTGTGGTTGAGACATAGAAGACTGTGGTTGAGACATAGAAGACTGTGGTTGAGACATAGAAGACTGTGGTTGAGACATAGAAGACTGTGGTTGAGACATAGTGACTGCGGTTGAGACATAGTGACTGTGGTTGAGACATAGGAGGTTGTGATTGAGGCATAGGAAGATCTGGCTGATACATAGGAGACTGTGGTTGAGACATAAGAGGTTGTGATTGAGGCATAGGAAGATCTGGCTGATACATAGGAGACTGTGGTTGAGACATAAGAGGTTGTGATTGAGACATAGGGAGCTAGTGATTGAGACATAGGAGGTTGTGATTGAGGCATAGTGGGTTGTGATTGAAACATGGGAGGTTGTGATTGAAACATGGGAGGTTGTGAATGAAACATGGGAGGTTGTGGTTGAGAAATAGGAGGTTGTGGTTGAAACATAGGAGGTTGTGATTGAGACATAGGAGGTTGTTATTGAGACATAGGGAGGTAGTGATTGAGACATAGGAGGTTGTGATTGAGAAATAGGAGGTTGTGATTGAAACATGGGAGGTTGCAGTTGGGAAATAGGAGGTTGTGATTGAAACATGGGAGGTTGTGGTTGAGAAATAGGAGGTTGTGGTTGAAACATAGGAGGTTGTGATTGAGACATAGGAGGTTGTGGTTGAAACATAGGAGGTTGTGATTGAGACATAGCAGGTTGCGATTGAGACATAGGAGGTTGTGATTGAGACATAGGAGGTTGTGATTGAGACATAGGAGGTTGTGATTGAGACATAGGAGGTTGTGATTGAGACATAGGAGGTTGTGGTTGAGACATAGGAGGTTGTGATTGAGACATAGGAGGTTGTGATTGAGACATAGGAGGTTGTGATTGAGACATAGGAGGTTGTGATTGAGACATAGGAGGTTGTGATTGAGACATAAGAGGTTGTGATTGAGACATAGGAGGTTGTGGTTGAAACATAGGAGGTTGTGATTGAGACATAGGAGGTTGTGGTTGAAACATAGGAGGTTGTGATTGAGACATAGCAGGTTGCGATTGAGACATAGGAGGTTGTGATTGAGACATAGGAGGTTGTGATTGAGACATAGGAGGTTGTGATTGAGACATAAGAGGTTGTGATTGAGACATAGGAGGTTGTGATTGAGACATAGGAGGTTGTGATTGAGACATAGGAGGTTGTGATTGAGACCGACTGAACGTTCGGTGTAGGTTTCGAACGGTTTTAGATTGAATTTGATGATCTTTCTTTTTTATTTTTTCAAATAAATGGATTCTACCTATGCTAACTAGATGTTTCTTTGTTGATATTTCAACGCTGGCTAAGACTAAGATAAAGATCATTGTTGATATTTCAACGCTGGCTAAGACTGAGATAAAGATCATTGTTGATATTTCAACGCTGGCTAAGACTAAGATAAAGATCATTGTTGATATTTCAAAGCTGGCTAAGCCTAAGATAAAGATCATTGTTGATCTTTCAAAGCTGGCTAAGA